TATCCAGCTTCTCGTCCACTGTCACCCCTAGGTCCTTTTCCGCAGAACTGCTGCCTAGCCATTCGGTCCCTAGTCTGTAGCTGTGCATTGGGTTCTTCCGTCCTAAGTGCAGGACCCTGCACTTATCCTTATTGAACCTCATCAGATTTCTTTTGGCCCAATCCTCCAATTTGTCTAGGTCCCTCTGTATCCTATCCCTCCCCTCCAGCGTATCTACCACTCCTCCCAGTTTAGTATCATCCGCAAATTTGCTGAGAGTGCAATCCACACCATCCTCCAGATCATTTATGAAGATATTGAACAAAACCGGCCCCAGGACCGACCCTTGGGGCACACCACTTGATACCGGCTGCCAACTAGACATGGAGCCATTGATCACTACCCGTTGAGCCCGACAATCTAGCCAGCTTTCTACCCACCTTGTAGTGCATTCATCCAGCCCATACTTCCTTAACTTGCTGACAAGAATACTGTGGGAGACCGTGTCAAAAGCTTTGCTAAAGTCAAGAAACAATACATCCACTGCTTTCCCTTCATCCACAGAACCAGTAATCTCATCATAGAAGGCGATTAGATTAGTCAGGCATGACCTTCCCTTGGTGAATCCATGCTGGCTGTTCCTGATCACTTTCCTCTCATGCAAGTGCTTCAGGATTGATTCTTTGAGGACCTGCTCCATGATTTTTCCAGGGACTGAAGTGAGGCTCACTGGCCTGTAGTTCCCAGGATCCTCCTTCTTCCCTTTTTTAAAGATTGGCACTACATTAGCCTTTTTCCAGTCATCCGGGACTTCCCCGGTTCGCCACGAGTTTTCAAAGATAATGGCCAATGGCTCTGCAATCACAGCCGCCAGTTCCTTCAGCACTCTCGGATGCAACTCGTCCGGCCCCATGGACTTGTGCACGTCCAGCTTTTCTAAAAAGTCCCTAACCACCTCTATCTCCACAGAGGACTGGCCATCTCTTCCCCATTTTGTGATGCCCAGCGTAGCAGTCTGGGAGCTGACCTTGTTAGTGAAAACAGAGGCAAAAAAAGCATTGAGTACATTAGCTTTTTCCACATCCTCTGTCACTAGTTTGCCTCCCTCATTCAGTAAGGGGCCCACACATTCCTTGGCTTTCTTCTTGTTGCCAACATACCTGAAGAAACCCTTCTTGTTACTCTTGACATCTCTGGCTAGCTGCAGCTCCAGGTGCGATTTGGCCCTCCTGATAACATTCCTACATGCCCTAGCAATATTTTTATACTCTTCCCTGGTCATATGTCCAACCTTCCACTTCTTGTAAGCTTCTTTTTTATGTTTAAGATCCGCTAAGATTTCACCATTAAGCCAAGCTGGTCGCCTGCCATATTTACTATTCTTTCGACTCATCGGGATGGTTTGTCCCTGTAACCTCAACAGGGATTCCTTGAAATACAGCCAGCTCTCCTGGACTCCTTTCCCCTTCAAGTTAGTCCCCCAGGGGATCCTGGCCATCCGTTCCCTGAGGGAGTCGAAGTCTGCTTTCCTGAAGTCCAGGGTCCGTATCGTGCTGCTTACCTTTCTTCCCTGTGTCAGGATCCTGAACTCAACCAACTCATGGTCACTGCCCCCCAGATTCCCATCCACTTTTGCTTCCCCCACTAATTCTACCCGGTTTGTGAGCAGCAGGTCAAGAAAAGCGCCCCCCCTAGTTGGCTCCTCGAGCACTTGCGCCAGGAAATTGTCCCCTACGCTTTCCAAAAACTTCCTGGAGGTTTTTCCTTCCTTAGAGGTTTTTAAGGTCAGGCTTGACAAAGCCCTGGCTGGGATGATTTAGTTGGTGATTGGTCCTGTTTTGAGCAGGAGGTTGGACTAGATGACCTCCTGAGGTCCCTTCCAACCTGTGTGTGTGTATTTATAAAGCGCCTGTCACTTTGGGCTTGACCCTCCTCTTATTTACATCAGTGCTACAATTGTGTAAATCAGTTGTCTTCAGTGCAGTTACTCCTGATTTACACTGCAACTCCTGATTTACACCTGCAACTCCACCATAACTTAAAGCCAATACACTCTCTCTCTCTCTCTCTCTTTTCTCTCCCTTCCAGTCCCGCACATAGATTACAGCCTGATCGTGGGAATACTCCCAGTGCTGAATACTCCCAATAGATGCGAAGTGTGCTGAGCTCGTTGTGCTGCTCAGCACCTGGCAGGACCAGGAGCCCAATAATTAACAAATTGTTAATATTTTGATATTGCTTTATTGGATCACATTTTGCTCCATGCAGATATGCCACTGTGTATATAGGCTTGTAATCATCAGTGCGTGCAGTGGTAACACGAAACTGTAATATGCAGGATACTCTTCTAAGAGTTGCTTAGATATAGAAAACATGAGTGGCAACATAATAAATCCAAAAAAAGATAGAAAGCTGGGAATATTTCCCTACAAACATATGCTGAACTTGGAGTTTAAAATACAATCGGTAATAAAATCTCTATAAAGATAAATCAGAATGAGTAGAGTGAAGAGATTAAATATAATCTGGAGTTCTCAAGTGCATACAAAATGGATGAACTCTTGGTCCCATTGAAGTCAATGGGAAAATGCCCATTGATTTTGATGGAAACTGTACATCTACATCTGCTCTAGGTGTTTTAAAGCATCCTTTATCATAGCATCTGAGCACCAAATTCAATCAAAACGTCATAGAACAAGCAGTGTAGGAAAACTAGACTGACCCCATGCGTCAATACTGTGATTGGAACTATGTCATAAATTTACAAATTTAGCATTTTACTTTGATGTCCTTTGGATGCATTGCCAAATGGCTATGTTGTCGGAGGATTGTTCAGCAACAAGAATGAACTCAACATGCAGCTGTGTGTGTGTTGTGTTGTAATGTTACTTTGACCCAGTCTTTTCAGGGAATACATTAAACACAGGAAGAGGAAAACCTCTTTTGTTTTGTACCTAGTCAACATTGGAAGAGGAAAACATCTTTTGTCGACCTCTTTCTTTACACCTGTATTCATCTACAGGAAAACTGCCTGGACTAATGTGTTGTCAGTAACAGTGTTTGTCTTTGTACTCTAGGAAAACCTTAGTTAGGCCAAATTCATTCCTGGTGTAACTCCATCAAACCTCACACTAATGTCAAATTGGTTTAATTTGTTTATATCTGCTCATAATGCTGCCCTTTAACTCCTGTTATTCGCTCGTGGTTGATAGGCCAAGAGGGCTATTCCAGATCCAAGATGCTGAGAACAGATTTCAGTTCCTAACATATGCAAATTGCTGACAGAAGATTAACAAAGACAATATTCAGACAGGAGTGGAGGGTTGGAGGGGCTTCTACAAATTACATGATGTGAAAGAAGACCCTGTTCTAATAATATCATATGAAAGGGCTATGGAAAACTAATCAGAGATTTTCCAAATGTGACTAAACACAGGTAAGAACCGCTCCCCCCAATTCGTCACCCCTCTAGGATAAAAATCAAATTAAAGGGCTGTGGAAGAAAGGAGCACGAAAGTAGTAACAAAAAAAAAATGGGAAAATGAATAAAGAATGGATCAGGTTAACAAAGGGGGAAATGAGAAGACAAAAATCCTAAGGCAAGACATAAGACTTTAGCAAAGCTCTTGTGTATCGCTGTAGACTCGTCTAAGGATCTGCAGAGCCCCAGAGCTACTCGACCAGGGGAAAGAGCAGGAAACTAGGCTAGGCTGTGAATTGCCTCCCTCTCTCATGCTGCAGCTATTGGGAAGATCTGGGAGCAAGTACCCAGCCTACAGCTGTCAGAGAAGGAAACTTCTGTTGTGCAGAGGATTTCAAAATTTGGGTTTTGTTCTGATTCACAACAAAATTTCCATGAAAGAAAAATCAGTGTGTGTGTGAAGCATTGGATTTAGACAGAACTGCATTCTTTGATGGAAAATGGTTCCATGAGAGGTTTTCTTCCCGTTCTAATCCAATTTCTCCTGTCCCATTGTTCCATGGGAAGATCGGGAACCTCCCATGCATTAAAGAGGCTCTCTTAAGTATGGGGCTGGTGGTATGTGCCCAGGGACAACTCAAGAGAGCTCAGCTACAAGAGCTGCCATAGCACTGGGGTTAGCGGGCACGTGTTGCGCTGCATTAGATTTAAGACCGGTCTTATTTGGTGCAATAACTGGCTTTTCACTGTTAATTTGTAATAAGGGGAGACGTTGTCTCCTTGACATCGGATGTGTTGCCTGAAAGTGTATCCAGTGCATTTCAAGTCTTATCAGTACAGCACACTAACTTAAGGGGAAACTAACCAAGCTAAACTATCATTCTTTTCCCTCTTCCTCTTTTCCAGGTCCCTTCCTTCCCGGTCGGATGTTCTTTGTACAAATGTTAAAGAAAAGCAGACGTAAAGTAAAAGATGAAAGCTTTATAGCCAAGCCCTAAGGTCTGCGCCAGGCTAGCCGCACTGGAAAAGTTTATCCCTCCACTGTGTAGAAGTCCCGTGGGCGGAATACCACCGCTACATTACAACCTGCACCCTTCAATATTGTGCAGCTGGGGGCGGGGAGGGGTCCCTAATCTGCCTCGATCTGCTGCGAGTCTTTCCCTTTAGCACCTGCAGTAATTTCTTTCAGCGCCACTCCGCATGTTTCTTTCCTAAAGCTCGCTCTCTGCTGGAGTCTAGTGCCAGGACTTTCAAACCCCAGCCCGGCAGAATCTGCGGTGGCATCATCTTGCCTAACGCACGTGCAGCATCTGCGCCTAAGTGGCAAACGGGCTTGACTTTGCTTTTCACGGGTTGCAGCTGTGGAAAGTAGCGTGCCCCCCCCCCTTTTTTTTTTTTTTTTTTTTTGCAGCCAAGGGCCATTTCCCTTGGCTGGATCAAGCCGCCCGCCTGATCATTCGCGCTCTCATTGGCAGGGGATTTGATCCAGCCCCCCACCAGCGCGTCCCTGAGGGAGGGGGGGGGCGCATAGATCAAGGGGAAGGGGCAGCAGGGTTGCGCGGGGCGGCCGGAGTGCCAAGCGGGGCTGGGTTCTCTCGGTGCGCTCTGCGGAGCAGGGGCCTGGCGAGGCAGGGCTGAGCGCGGCGCCCCGCTGCCCAATCGCCGCCCTTGGGCAGGGCAGCCGAGCGCTGTTCCGCCACCCGCGGTGCTGAAAACAGCCTGAGACCCGAGCCGGTGCCTGGCCTTCACCCGCAGGCCACTCCGCCCAGCGCCCGCAGCCGCCACAGCCGCACGATGAGCTCTCTCCTGTTCCTAGGTAAGTTCGCCCGGTTTGTCAGTGCTGGGGAGGAGGCAGAACCTGCTACCAGCCGGCTCGTCTGCAGGCGCCCGCCGCTGCCGCTGACTCCCCTGCCCCGGTCTCACCTGGCTGGCACTCACCTGCCGGCTCCCGAGCTCCCTGCATCGCGCCGGGATGCACAGCGCGCTTGTGTGCATGGCTAGCTCACGAATGAACCTCCCCCGTGGGCCTGCCTCTCACCCGTGAGGCACCCACGGGGTGTACGCACCTCATTTGGGTGCATCAGCGCCCACCTGCCCATCTCATCCCTACCTATCTGTTCTGTCTGCATCTCCCTTTTGTGCATGCATCCTCACCAGTGTGCGTGGCTTGCCTTTAGAAGGGAGAAGATTTGCTCTCTTGTAAAAAGTAGTTTTACTTTTGTGTTCCAAAGTCCCCACTCTGATTGCATGTAGCTATTCAAATCATTATTTACTAGCATCATGCTTAGAGGCTGCCTTTCCATGAAATAACATAATGTAAGAATTGCATCTTCAAAACGGGGCATGGACTCGAACTGAACCCAGAGAGGTAGTTTTCCCCCCAGGCTCGCATAGATTTGTATTTGATGCTTTCCAGTTTGAGAAGTCTATTCAGATTCGCTCTGTGTTGAACATGGGATTTGTCAACTATGCTACTAGCCGTCAGTGAAGTGAGCTTAATTCTCTACACACCATTATTGATGCTTCATGTGTCAGATGAATTTCCCTTTCCTGGAGCTCATGCCTGATTTGATCCCTATTTATTTATTCTCGCTGCTGCTGGAAAACTGCAAGGTGTGGATGAGCAGGTGCTCACTTCACACTCAAGTGTGATCTCTAGGGTTGTACTTTGCTGAACAGGGCACCTAACAAACTTATTCAAACGAGTCCCTGGTAATATGTTCAAGTCTGTAAACACCACACAGGAACAAGAGTGTTCTTTTGTGATCTAGCATGAGCATTGATAAGAAACTCAGCCATCAAGAAGACCTGCAAATGGGATGCCTTGTCTAAACAAACAGTCACTTGTTTGCTGAGTGGAAAGCGTAAGTGCAGGTAGTAGCATAAGAAGAGTTATTGACATTTCCCTTTGGTTTTGAATGGAAAAAGAGAAATCAATAAAGCTGGTATATAGGAAGCTGATAGAAGAGAATAAGATGAAATGCTGTTCCTATACATTTAACTCTTTGTTCCTGCTCATTTTTATCCTTCATTTTCCCACTATGTTCTGCATATCGGTACTCTCAAAGCCATTAACTTTCTATTCTGCTGTTTAAAACAACATTCCACTTAGTTACTTCTGGCTTTAGAGCTACTAGCTTCAAAATTCACACAGTATACGGTACATCACTCCCTTTTGTAGCCTACCCTTACTTTTTTCTATCTGTCTAGCTGTTTATATAGCTAAAGCACTGGATCAGGATTCAGGAGATCCTGGTTCAATTCCTAGCTCTGCCAGAGATATCTTATGTGACCTTGGGCGAGTAATTTAATACCTCTGTGCCTCAGTTTCCCATCTTTAAGATGGAGATGATACTTATTTTCTTTCTCTTGCCCTTTGTCTGTTTGACTTGTAAGTTCTTCAGGGCATGGACAATCTCTTACTTCATGCATGCACAATATCAGGCACAATGAAATATGAATTTTGTTTGAGGCTTTTATGTGCTACTGTAATACAAATAATATTAATTGTATTAATTGTAATCTAGCTCCGGATGGATCCCCCTCAGGTTACTAAGAGAGGTGGTTGTGGTAGGACATTCTCCCTGAATGTCCAAAAAATCTGGAGTTCACTACTTACTGTAACAATGGTGACAGGCTGTGAAAATGTTTAGGGAAATTAGCAAAATTAGGTGGGTCTGTTGCACATCAGAAAGTTCCAGTTACTGGCCCTAACATTGTATAGTACAGAGGAGTCAAGAGATAATCTAGAGCCACTGTCATGTCATTAGACATGGAGAAGCCGTTTGATAGGTTTAATGGAAAGGCAGCTCAGTTTAGTAGGAATCAGAAGAAAGTCTGAGCTGGTAACTGGCTGCTCCCCCTGTCCAAGCTCCAGCTGTTCATGTGCAAGGAAGGGTTCTGAAGGGCTAGGTTGGCAGGAGGGAGATTAAAGATACAGTGACCATGTTCACAGAGCTTTGGTGGTATGGAACCCAGCTGGAGTCTTAAGTCCCCACACTGCAGGAGGAACAGGGTAATGTCTGAACTGTCCATTCAATTAGGCTCACTTCCCAGAGAAGTTTCTGTGACCCTGATTCTCCACTGGCTTACCCCATCAAAGTGTGTGCAAAATGCTTTCAAATCAGAAATAGGTCTAAATGACTTTACAAGGGGAAGACCATAAACAGACCCCTGACCCACAGCTGGTATATATGGCAGTTGGAGTCATCCCTTAGGGGAGGTGGTATTGTCCTCCTTGTCCCAGGGACAGGTTTGGGTTCCTTCTGGCTGAATGCAAGCTGCAGAAAGATGACTGAATGGGCAGTACTGAGCAGAGGTAGCTGTCCTGGCTATGAACTCAGATTGGATCCAGCAGCTGGGAAGGATGTACATGAATTCGTTTTCTCAGTACCGGATCTGTTAGCTTAAGGTAAATGTATGTGATGTCACTAATGAGATATTAAATATTGGTGCACCTGCCAGTGATGGAAAGTTAAATGTTAATACACTTGTAAACCCAAACATTCCCTATAGTAACAATATTGCCTCACAACACAGCACCATTTCCAAAATACATGACATCAGTGCTAAACAGGAGCAGTTGTTTAAAATTGTTCTCTTAACAGAACCATGTTAAATGTGTGAAAGTCATCCCAGTGCAGAGGGCCTGGGCAAGCCCCTAGAAAGCATTAATTGCCCTTTTCAATCTGGGGTTAAGGAGCACAGAGCATTCTTTGAATGGCCACATAAGATTCTGTGAATGTCACCTGGAATGAACAGTAATCTCTGATCCTCTGAGGGACTGCCAATGAAACCACTCCCATGAAGTGCTCAGCTACTTGCATGATCAGGCCCTAAATTAATGTCTGAAAGTTAATTTAACAGAAAAAATAAAATAACGTGTTATCATAGTAAAGATAGTTTTATCATAGGAATGCATTATCTCAGACCGTCTCTTCTCCTCCAGCAAGGCCAATCTAATTTCCTGCTGATAAGATAAGCAACAGGAGACATTTAGATATACGTCTCTACCATGCAACTGACACCTCAGTCTTCAGTTTTTCATGCTAGGTGCGCAGTTCAAAAACAGGCTTTAAGTTCAGTATATTTGGTACCGCTGTAAAAGAATTTAAAATTTTGTGTTTTACCCAAAATTGATGCATCCCCCCCAAATAATGTAAATAGAAGGAAACATTTTATGTAATAAGAAATACACTGTATCATCGTTCAGTTCTACAGCTGTTAAATTTTTTTTTAATATTGATTGATATGAGTATCCTGTAGCATCTGGCTTTAGCAAACTGCAGTGGAAGTTTCAGAGTGGTAGCTGTGTTAGTCTGTATCAGCAAAAACAACGAGGAGTCCTTATGGCACCTTAGAGACTAACAAATGTATTTGAGCATAAGCTTTCGTGGGCTAGAACCCACTTCATCAGATGCATGGAGTGAAAAATACAATAAGCAGTATATATATATCACAGCAGATGAAAAGATGGGAGTTGCCTTACCAAGTGGGGGGTTCAGTGCTAATGAGGCCAATTCAATTAAGGTGAAAGTGGCCTATTCTCAACAGTTGACAAGAAGGGGTGAATATCAAGGGAGGGAAAATTACTTTTGTAGTGCTAATGAGACCAATGCAATCAAGGTGGACATTATCCATGTCCAACAGTTGACAAGAATTGAATTGACCTTAATTGAATTGGCCTAATTAGCACTGACCCCCACTTGGTAAGACAACTCCCATCTTTTCATGTGCTGTGATATATATACTGCTTACTGTATTTTTCGCTCCATGCATCTAATGAAGTGGGTTTTAGCCCACAAAAGCTTATGCCCAAATAAATTTGTTAGTCTCTAAGGTGCCACAAGGACTCCTCTTTGTTTCTGAAGTGGAAGTGAAATCCAGTGTTTCTCTGAGTTTTATACTTCCCTTTTACTTTAACGCTTTGTATAAGGACTGCAATGCCCTTACATTTCTGTATTGTCATGAACTGATGAAGAAAGTAGTTCTTGAAAGCTTGTATAACATTATTTTTTCCATTAGGTCAGACAGAAGATCCTGGGTCAAATTCTGGGCTCACTTATGCCAACACAAATCTGAAATGACACAACTGAATACAATGATGTTACTCTGGATTTACCCTAAAAGCTCCCACTGGATCAAACTTAAGACACTGGAGTTGTATCAGTGCCAAGTCTGCCGAATCACAATTGTTTTGTGATTGGAAAAATAATAGGAAATTTTGTATATTGCTAAGTAATAAAAAGCTAACTTGTTCATTTGTCATTACATGCAATCTATAATAAATCGCACTGTACAATTCATAGCATGAATGCAAGCAGGCAGATGTTTACCTGTAGTACTAACTAATCATTATTATCTACTTTTACAGTATTAGTTGTATACTTCAAAAACACATCTGCTTCCCAGACCACTGACTGTCTGAACCTGAGAGAGCAATGCATTCGTGCTGCAAATGGATGTGAAAGTGTCTGGAATGTAATTGAAGATGCCTGTAATATTTCAGGTAACAGTTACAGTCTATACTGCCATGTTTTTTTGATTGCGATAAGTCAAACAAAACTCTTTGTCCATATTATATCAGGTTATTTTATATCTTATTCTGGTTTCACATGAGTGTAGAACTGGAGTGACTCCCCTGATGTCAAGGAGAGTCCACATGTGCATGCGACATGTAAAAGCTGTGCATGTGACAGCAGAATCAAAGATAATTACAGGCCTAGGGATTTCAGGACCAGGCCTACAATTGTGAAGTCCTTAGTAGGGATCAAATTCTGCCCTCCGTTTCACTCATGCAAACTCCTTTTCAATGCAGTGAATGAGGTTTCAGAGATCAGATTGTGAATCCCAGTCAACAAGTTCAATCCAAAGGGAATTTTGATACCATATAAGAGCTGAGTAAAAACTAAGTAGTGATTCCAGAATGTAGCCCTCAACATTTTCAACTTGAGAATCATTTTCCAATAAAATACCATCTTCCGTAATTCAGCAATAAGAGAGTAGAACGCTTCAGGCAATGTCAGCGTTACTTAGAATAATTTTGAAGTAATATTAGAATATGAAATAAATAAATTCTGACATGCATGAAGAAATATGCAGAGGTGTCATATTAATGCTATTCAGTTAACTGGCACCAACATGTCAGAATGAATCATTTCTAGGGAATGATAATACAATAAATTGCAGGTGCTGAATATGACTGATCTCCCTTCAGTTGTTTAATGCATAACACAGATTTTCACCTACACAAGAACAGGAAATCAGTCTCACTGTCTCTGCTTATTACCTTAAGGAATAGGAAAATCATTTTTTATAAACAGTTTAATACTTTCTACAGTATTGTGTATATACATAAAACATTCATATTAGAGCCAGTCATAAGATTATTTGAAAACATTTTCAATAAAGAATGATGTTTTAAATCCAAATTTTTGTGGAACATTTTCATTTCATTGAGAATTTTTGGTTTTTCAATAAAAAGCCAAACAATTTTCATTTAAAAAAATTAGGGAGAAATATTTTGGTGCAAAACAATTACCATTTTTGACTAATTCTAATATATATCTGATTAGTGCATCCAAAGGCTCATGGAGCTTTGTACTAGGTACATCTTATCTTAATAAATATGATTACTTTTTAATTGGGGGTGAATCAGGTAATACTGTCTGAATGCTACCAGTAATACAATTGGCCTGCAACTCAGCCTAATCTCTGTTGTAAAGCAAATGTAAAACTTTTTAATAGCTCAAATCAAAAAGTTCTCCCCTCTTGCTGCTTATTGTCTTCTTGAACCTACCACATAAAATTCCTTCTGAGTCAGTCAACAACCCATTTCTTTTTAAAATGGATCCTAAAAACTCACTTCCTTCTGTGAGGACATTCAGTGTTAGCTCCCCAAATAGAGTGGATATGGAGAAAGAGAATAAATTATGGGGCGGTGTGCTATAAAGGGTTTATTGGCATGAGTTTGGAGTGAACTTCATTGCTGATAAAGGGTAAAGCCATGAGTGAGTGCAAACACTTAGCCCTACCAGTGGAGTAGCACATCACACATCAGGAGATTCTTTGTGAACTAGATTTAAGACCATATTTCGTCCTTCATCTTCAATGAAGAAGATTAAATTCCCATTGACAATGATGGATTCTGCTTGTGGCTGGGAGGACAGATTATGACCTAGAAAGTGTCAGCCACAGCTATTTGTCAGAAGTCTTGCAGTCATATTTATACAAAGTGTGTGTGTGTGTATATATATATATATATATATATATATAAGCTAAATCATTAGTAGGTCCCAAGCTGAAATTATGCTTAGATTTTAAATCAAGAGGGCATTTTTGTAAGTGCCCTTGTAATGCATATATATATTATAGTTGGAATGTGTTATCTTCTGCTAATCAGTAATAAAAGGAACAAGAATTAAAAAAACAGCAACAAAAATATTTTGACATACTCACCACACAGCTGAATCAATACTGTGTATAAACACAATAGTCCTGGTAGTAGAAACATACTTGTTTAGTACATGGTCTAACTTGTTATACGAAGCCTGCTTAATCCTTTTGTACCACATGATTTTTGACTTCATTGGAGCTAGGATTTCACCCTGGTATCTGATATCTCTATCTACTTCATGGTAGCTGAATGCCTTACAGAAATTACCGTTGGGCAAAAATGTCCCAAGTGCTCTCATAAGAAAATAAGAACAGTCATAGTGGGTCAGACCAAAGGTTCATCTAGCCCAGTATCCCAGTAGCCAATGCCAGGTGCCCCAGAGGGAATGAACAGAACAGGTAATCATCAAGTGATCCATCCCCTGTCGCTCATTCCCAGCTTCTGGCCAACAGAGGCTAGGGACACCATCCCTGCCCATCTTGGCTAATAGCCATTGATGGACCTATCCTCCATGAATTTATCTAGTTCTTTTTTGAACCCTGTTATAGTCTTGGCCTTCACAAAATCCTCTGGTAAAGAGTTCCATAGGTTGACTGACATAGTGTGGAAAAAAATACTTCCTTTTGTTTGTTTTAAACCTGCTGCCTATTAATTTCATTTGGTGGCCCCCACTTCTTGTGTTATGAGAAGGAGTAAATAACACTTCCTTATTTACTTTCTCCACACCAGTAATGATTTAACTCTCTCCCTGTTTTCCAAGAGCACAGATTTTGGAGCAATTTTATCTTCATCATCGTTATTCTGGAAAGGCTATATGGATTTCACCTTTATTCCTAATGTGGCAATGACATACCAACATACTTAGTAGTTGTAGTAGGGAGTTTTATAGTTGAGGGTCAGCTAGTGAGAAGGCTGTGCCTTCTGCTCCTACAAATCCCACCTTTGTTGCTCACTTTTCAGTTGTTCCCAATAAGCACAATTGGCATGCTAAGCCGCCAGTGAAACTGACCCAATAAGCCAAAAATATAGTAAAGTATGCACACTTTTTGTCAAAAGTAATTGTTACAAACAGATTATATGCCCTCAAAATGAGAACTTAAAATAGACATTTTGGCAATGGGTCAAAAATATCCATCAATATAAATGAAGACAGAATTGTACCCACACTTTCATCATGTCATCCCAAAGATGATGTTAAATTTGTGAATTATGATATATTTAGAAACAAAACCACCTTCTCTTATTGTACTGCAATTGACTTGTTTTATGTAGCCTTGTTGAATAAATATTAATGAAATTATATTCTTGACGACAAACCTAGGCAACAGCTGCAAGGCAAAAGATTCAGTTGGCTGTAATACAACCATCCAATTCCTGGCTAACCAGTATCCACAATTTAAAGACTGTATCTGCACCAAAGATGATTTTTGTAGCACCAAACTGTTGCTTGGGAAACAATGTGCTGTTAAAAAAGGTAACTAGTGTATCTGATGCCTTAATAATACAAAATAATGGAAGTGGAATTTTAACTCTGTCTGAAGATAGAATGTAATTCCTCAGCATAAGGAAGTCTTATAGTTTCCTCTATGTGAGTCTCAAATCAAAAAATCTCTCAATAGACTTTTTAATGTTATTTTGCCTTTTCTAAAATACAGTAGAACCTCAGAGTTATGAACACCAGAGTTATGAACTGACCAGTCAACCACACACCTCATTTGGAACACAATCAGGCAGGAGCAAGACAGGAAAAAACCCAAAACAAGTACAGTACAGTGCTGTGTTAAACACTAACTACTAATAAAAATAAATGGAAAGCAGGATTTTTCTTCTGCACAGTAAAGTTTCAAAGCTGTATTAAGTCAATATTCAGTTGTAAACTTTTGAAAGAACAACCATAATGTTTTGTTCAGACTTACAAATGTTTCAGAGTTACAAACAACGTCCTTTCACAAGGTGTTTGTAACTCTGAGGTTCTAGTGTATTCACATCTCTAAGTATATATGAAAATTATGTTAAATAGCTATTTTAAAATCAACAGTACCAAGGAAAGTCAGAGGAAAAACCAAGAAATTCAAATTTAAGGCTGATAACTGTTCGTTTAACCTGTTCTGATATGCCTAAACATTGTAGAACATATAATAACATATAGAATCAGATCCTGCAGTCCTTGAAGTCCATGGGCTCAATTCAGCAATCCTTGTTTGTGATGAGTAACCCCTTAAACTTCAACTGGACTACTTGTGTGAGTAAGTACTATTCAATATGAGTAAGATTTGGAGACTCAGGTGCAAAGAGAAGTGTCCTTAAATAAAGACTACAGGATTTGACACATGGCATGTCAAATCAAATCAGATAATAAAGTAAATGTTAAGGACCTGATCTTGCCTTCCTTACTCAAGATGGCAGGATTGGAAAGCTAAGGCCTGATACTGACTACTTTGAAACTGATGATTGTTTTGCCTCAGTCAAATGGGAGGATAATTGTACCCCTCTTCGTTAATTACTTGGGGCCAAAGGGACAAATTGCTCCCTGGTGCAATTTAAATGAAATTAGCAGAGTTGCGTCTGGGCTGAATTTTCCCTGTATACCTAATTCTATCATGCCATATGCAGTAATTTCAGTCAGAGTTCTGTGTATATTACCTGATGCCCATTTATGTGCTAACCTAGAGCACAGGTTATATTATACAGATTTTTGGGAACATACTAAACATAAAGAAGACTTAGTAATCTGCAAGAACCTGAAATGAGTATGTAGTTACTTGCTATTGACCAGCTACCATAGGAATCATCCAAATTAGTTAAGCCATAATCAGTGTTGTATAATTCAGTTTATTGTACGGATTCTTAGGAGAATTAACTTTGTCACCAAATTTGTTTAGATATGACTATAAAAGAATTTGTAGGATTCAGCCTTACATATTGTCTTTCCAACATACGTCTTTGTCAAAATCTATCTGTACAGGGCATTTGGAGCCTTCCCTAAGCCCAGATATGCAATTAAACTTCAGGTCGCACTCAGAACCCAAAGGCATGCAACGCACCAGGGAATCAGAAAATGACTGCAGTATTGCAAAGCAAAACTGCCGAGAAGACCATAGCTGCTTTATGATGTATAAGAACTTCCAAAGAGTTTGCAGGGCAGAGGTGGCAAAATGCAGTCTCCAAATGGTTGGGCAACAATGTTTGTCAGCATGGAAGGAGCTGAGGAAAACAGTGCTGGGGAACTGCAAGTGTTCAGAACCAATTCAAAAAAGATGTGCTAAAATATGGAAGAGTATCTTTAATAACACGTGTTTACAGTACATTCAGGAGAATCAAGCTTTTGCCATGCAGGAAGACGACTATGATGATGAGAGAAATCAGGGCATTCATCCAGGTTAGTGCTATTCAGGGATACCTTTAAAAGTTAAAATTATGTTTTATTGCAATTCAAAAGCTGTGTAAAACTGTCTTACTTGAATCCAGTATTATCACATCTGTGGGAAAGTTTGTATATTTTATTACTTATTTGCAGTTGAATGTTGGGAACAGGAGAATTTTAGGAAGCTGATTATGTGCATGTGAATAATTTAAACAGCTTATCAAGTGGTAGGTGAAATTGTAGTTTGAATTAATTGAATAATTTCATAATATGTGTTTGTACGGCACCTAGCACAAGGGAATTCTGGTGCTGAGCGGTGCCTTTCAGAGCCACTACTAGTACTAGAACGAAGTGAGTAATTGTTTTTTTGGTTGGGAGGCTGGACCAAAAACTGAGGAAAAAATATTCAGTTCAGGTCAACCTGAAACTGTTTTTTTAAAAATTGTTGTCACTGAAATGGGAAACCTAAAAAAATAATTTCAGAAACATTTCTGTATGATGTTTCCAAACAAAATTTGCTCCCCGATCAATCCTGGCTGAGTGAAATTGACATTCTTGCAATAGCTGCAGGGAAGCTGACAAGAAAGCCAATTTCACTCAGCAGCTGCTGAGTTTCCAGAGTCTGTAGCTCCAGGGAAGCCCATGAGTGAGGAATGCCCTGGGAGTCAGGGGTTCCAGGGCTTCAAGGCTCCCAGTTATACAACAGGGTTCCTGGAAGCCCTGATCTGGGGGAGCAGCCCAGAGCCACGGACCTTGGTATTATTATTATTGTAGAACATATCATTAGCCCGAGTTGCATCTGGGGTCCCCAGCCCTGGGCAGTCCACCTGGGAGATCTGCTCTGAAGTCACAGAGTCGATCAGCCCCAAGACACTCAGAGCTGTGGCAGCTGACAGGCTCTCTTTCATGGAGCTGTGCACCCTGAAACACTGTGTTTCAGTAAAAGTTTCAACAAATCTGCAACAGACTCAGTGAACCGTTTCAGTTCAGAGAATCAGCATTTCCTGATGAACCTGTAACAACCGTCTCTAACTACGACGACTACTAAATAATTATTATTATTATTTATTAATATAGTTTTTAAAAATTGTGTATACATTCAAAAATTTAGGCTACCATATTTATATTTAGCCATAAGGGGCCTGATTTTCAGAGGTGCTAAGCACCCAAGAGTTCTCATTGAGGTCCCAAACTTTTAGGCCACGTATTCAGAGAGGAGAGTGATGTTGCCAATAGCAATGAAGAAAGGTCCTGTGCAGATTTGCTTTAATATCTCTAAATAAACCTAATGAATCTTATGCAGCTTGTAAACAAATTGACAAGTCTATTTGACTAACCTAATTTTTTTTCTCTGTACTTTTATGTGAAAGGTTATACTAGCATTAGAGTCAATAAAGTTTTACATTAAAGCTCACAATCAAGCTGACGTAATGTATCAATGCTCCATATAGTCTCTGTATGTATCTTTTTCTTCTAGATAATATTAACATGGAAACTAAATTACAATGGAACTTATCTGCTCTTTCCAAACATGGTAAATTTGAATTTATTTTATTAATTTATAAACCATATTTATTGTTTTTCTTTCAGTCTGTGATAGTGGACAATGTCGCTGCATATAGATTACATAATAGTAACAACATTGAACAAACAAACTTAAAATATCAGATTTAGTGAACCCCAAATATTTGCAGATAGATTTCTGGTCAGAGAAGGATACAGAAGTTCATAATAAAAAAATCCTGATCCCATTTAAGCCAATGGCAATTCTTCTGATTTTGTCCCATTCAAAATTTTTAAATTAAAAAAAAATGATCTGAACGTTTCAGAACATAAAGGTTTAGGTTCAAAACTGAGTCTAAGAATAGATGCAAGTTCCAGTAGCAGGGGATTGTTCTAATTTTATCTGAATTAGCTTCCCCATCTATTAAATATGGTTATAACAAGGTGCATAAATAATAGTTAAGATAGATATCTCACTCTTACAGACGTCACCATTAACATGACAGCATTAGGGACTATTGTAATAAAAATACCTTAATAATATTTATTTATCAATAGTCACAACACTATGGCATGTCCCTATACTTTGCCTTGCAAATAAAGACCAAATCCTGTCAGGTCCTGGGCACCCTTTATGAGGTGCTGGGGGCTCTGAAATAATACTAAACTCAATAGGAGACAGTCAGGACCTTGCAGGTTTGGACCCTAACTGTGATATTACGATTTATAAAGATAGTACGAGAAGAGCACTAGGCATTCACAGATGAATACATAAACAAAGGCTCTGAAATGAAGAGCTTACTTTCTATGGCTGCAGTTCTGGCTCTGTTGAAGTCAACAGCAAAGTGTCCATTAACTTGATTTCACCCTCAATGTTTCAAATAACAAAAAAAATTCATTAAAGCAGAGTTAAGGTTGCCCGGCAGTGTCTCATGCTCTTCCAGAAGGTTGAGGTCAGCAAAGCTCAGATCTCTAAAAACAGGGAAATAAAGAGATGAGGTCATTCAAACTTAAATTTCTGAAAAACAGTTACACGCCAATGATTAATGAAATGCCATATGTCCTTCAGACTTTTTGATGGGTTGGGATTTTTAATTATTCAGCTCTATAAAGTAACCTTAACTGCAGTGTATCCAGCCTGTAGCAGGGTGGTCACCCGCTCCTGCCCAAAGGGCTTAAAACAGCCCAGGGGAGGGCTGTGGCTGTGGCAAGCAGCCCAGGCTGATGGGGGAAAAGACACAGTGGGGCCCATGCCCCAGTCAAGGCCCAGCTGGACCTTATAAGAGGCCAGTGGGCCAGGAGCACAGAGACTCTTTCTCTGGCCTTTTGAGAGGGAGGGACCTGGCTGCTGCAAGCTGAGTAGGGTACCTAGACTGGAGCAGGGCTGGGGGAAGGCCAGACGAGCTGGGGAGCTCTGGCCTGGAAACCTCCCAGGCTGCAGGCCTAGTCTAAGGCCAAATAGGTACTGCGGTTGCAGGGGGCAGCCAAGCATAGGTGAAAGCAGCAGGTTCAGACCCTCCTTGCCTGTGATGAGGGGTTTGTACACTGCAGTCCGCCCCAGTGAACGGGGGCTAGGGGGTGACTGGCAGTAGCCATATACTGAGGCGAGGTGGGGATAGGGGGTTGGAGGTTCCTCAGGGAAACCTTTCTTTGTAGAGAAACCTTACAAAGCCTTCTGGATCTCACCTTCCCAACCTTCACACCCCCATTACACATTTCCAGCATGTTGTTATTAATAGTGAGATAAATTGGATTCATATCCTAATCAGTTGTCTCTACAGCGGGTAGACAAGTTTTAGTCCAAAAAAAATATTTACAAATAAAAATTGGGTATGGAGGAGGGGGGAAATATTGTACTAATGTCTATCAGTTTTTTGGACCAGCTCTAATTTTTATAAATGTTTCTTGTATAGTTAAGACTGGATCCTGCAACTGCTTTCAGAATCCAGAAGCGCAAAAAAACAACCACTAGATTGGTCTTTATACTTATCTTTGTGTATTTTTTTAAATCTATTATCCTTTTAGAATACATAGAGAATGGAACCTGTTTTGATGTAAACAAGGAATGTATTGAAGATGAAGTATGTAATAAACAGTTATCTCTGTACCTTAAAGTTTGTTCAGTAACTAGAAAGCAGTGCAACATGGAACAATGCCAAGCAGCCATAAGGTTCTTCTATCAAAATATGCCTTTTAATGTTGCCCAGATGTTGACATTTTGTGACTGCACCCAGCCTGATGAATCTTGTCAGCAAGCCAAAGATCTTCTTCATGGCAAGCCATGTGCAGTCAACATAGTTCCCCCTCCTTCATGTCTAAATGTAGTTCACAGGTGCCAAGACAATGAATTGTGCAGGTAAGTAAAATAATAATTACTTTATTTAACTTTTGCCTGGTAATGTGCGTGTCAATAACAATGAAAAAAGGTGATAAATATAATCTCTCTCTTTATATATACACACAAACACACCCCCCCCCCCCAGAATGATTTTCTTCATTATAGTTACTTGATGGCATTGCCGGTATCTGAGAACAAGTATGCTTCCAAATAAATTTCTCTAAACTTTATAAGCAACAGCAATGGAAGAGTTTGGCATCTTTTAACTTTCCTATTAAAATAAATCGCGGGCCATCTGGGCACTTCCTGAGTGTCACTATATACAATGGACACTCAAAACTCCACAATTACAGTAGGTTTAGAACTCAGATCATGCTACTAAAAAGCACATGAGCTTAAGGGAAATCTCAGTAATATAGCGACTATGACAGCTGAGCAGTTCTGATCCTGGCCAGGAAAGGAAAGTGCAAAACATATAGATTAACCAGTTAACTACAATATTTAAGTGGATTGTTTTCACTTTCTACCCTAAAAAGGAATATTAATATGTTCTTTATCACATGGCACAGATTTTAGCAATTCCTGAAAACATGGATCTATTCTGAAAAATTATTGTAAAAATGGCATTGCAGGTTCTATTCCTTATGATTCTCAAAGGTTTCCATGTCAGCTGCATTCAGGACTCTTTCTAATTGTGAGCCCTGAAAACTCAGTCTGGGTATTATACTTCTTGTCTATTATCACCCATAGCAGTTTCTGACAGACAAATTATGCGCTCAGAGATTTTCAACCCACTCGCTTCAGATTTTGTCCTGGGGAATTCCTCTTTGCCTTCAAATGGTTTGCACAAAGCATGCAGCTGACTGAGCAAAGTTCATTTGGTGAAATTAATTATCCATTAACCCAGTAATATGACCCATTGCACCCAATTGTTGCACAAGGAAAATGGTCTAAATAAGAAAACATTTCCACTTATTTCTTTTTGTCCTTTTCTCCTTCAAACAGACTATGTGATGATGATCCTCTGTTTATGGACACACCAGGCTTTTATCATATACAATCAATCATGTAGAGTGAGCCAGCTTTTGCATTTTATTTCCTATTATTTTACAAAATATTTAAGTGAGAAACAGCTGTAGGATTGGCCTGTACATACAGTGCCACTTAAATGTGACCATTATTTGGCTCGGTTTAGATTTCAATGTGGTCATTCTAGCACTATTGGACAAGACCTGAAATTCATCTAATAAATTAAGCATGCTGTAAATTAACCTTCAGTAAAGAGATCAAGGATCACATTCAGCTCTGCCATAAGCAAGTTCAATTCAAATTGACGTCACTGGAGCATTGTCACTTTTTTTATGCCTGGTTGAATTGTGTGTGTAGGAGTCTAACTGGAAACCATATTTAGCAGAGACTTGTTGAATTACCCATTACCCTTGAACATTATATGTTTGTTAACATTAACAATCAGTAGAGATAAATATCAAAATTACACTGTGAATTATATTTAGCTGTTCCTTTAAATTATGAGCCTGAACAAAAAAAAGTGTGCCATTAGCACAGAAATGGGAGCTACTTCGACTGAAACCTTGAATTGTGTAACATAAGTGCTGTGTAATTGGGTCCTACATTGAACCTTATAAGGTATCATTTTCCAGACATGCTATTTTTAACAGCCCTATGAAATCTGTACTTAGTCTTCAGCTGTATGAGATGCCATATTTTAATGGGTCAATGCCCAACACTTTACAGTCTGATCCGATAACCCATTGCCCCTTCAATCCACTAATATTTAATATAATAGATATTGATTAGAAAGATATTTATCAAAGGTTTTACAACACTCCTGTTAAGAAAATAGATAAACTATAATTGTTAAACATTGTCACATAAAGGGCTATTTTAATTCTACCCAACATAGTAAATAAACTGTCATATGGGATCATTGACCAGAGAAAGAGGAACCAACTTAGTCTACTTACTCCTCGTTTAATTTGATCACCGCTAATTGTCTTCTAATATAGTTTTATAGTTATGGTTGACTTGGTTTTAGTTTTCTTTTTTAGCCTGTAAAACATTTTGCTGTGTGGATTAGATAGTCTTTATCTTATATCACTCCAATTCAGTGTTTGTTCTGCCCAGATGTATGATTTTACAAACCTGCCACATCCATTAGAAATTTACTTGCTTTGGTTTCATTATGATGTCCAGTCTGATTATTCTACTTTACTGCAAGCTGTCCTCTCTGGATGATTGTTACTTTCACCGCTTATTGTTGGATCCTGGAAAATCTCTGCTGTTTGTAAAGTGATCAAAATTGATTTTCTTCAAAGAAATTCATTTCTGAAGCCCAGATTCTTCTCTCAGTTACAATTGTGCGACACCACTGATATCAGTGAAATTGGACAGGTTTAAGGAGAGCAGAATTTTGAGCTATTGATGCAGATCTCTGTCATTAAACCTTTATGATGTGATAGGGTTTTTTTTTACTTTCAATAGAGATGAGGGAATATTGTGCCCTACCAAGCCTACTGTTCCATGGCATCCCAAGATGGAGTCAGATGACCAGGAGGGCTTTTGAACCCACTGTCAGCCTGCTCCTACCATTTGAAATTTTACAGGATCTGACAGGAAAGGGACTTCAGGAGACATCAAATCCTGAAGAGTGCCTGAATGAATGACAGATATCTTCTCTGGGAGAGCCTTTCATACCATAAAAATACTCTTTCCTTTATTCTCCTCTCCTCTTGATTTTGTATAGAAAGCTACTGCCCTACAGGACCCATAGTCAGCATTCACAGGGGAATGTCTGATTAAAAGAAATATGTTGGTAAAAGAAAATTTTAATCATGTGTTGCTCCATGTCAAGTTGTCTTAATCATAATATAGCAACGCTTTTGTTGTATGTTTCCTCCAGGAAAAAATATGAAGTGTTTCGGTCTAAGTGCTGGAGACATGTGACAAAAAGATGCTATGACAATAAAGCTTGCCTTGAAACTTTAATCAAGGATGATCTGATTTGCTCTGGAAGTGCTGACTGCAGAGCAGCTTACATTGACAACTGGGGCACCATGCTTCGCGTGGAATGCACCTGTCATACTGTCCCACTAGCTGAACAGTCTTTGTGCAAGCTCTTCCATCACCTGCTTCACAGCAAGTCCTGCTTCAGTAAGTTATGTGAAGAAAAATGCACCCTAAAATATTAACATACTTGTTTTATACAACAAAATCTATTATGTGAATTAGATCGCAAGATCAATAAAATATTTCATTGTGTCAAATTTATTTCTAGTGTAATGCTGTTGACTCCAGGATTCATTTGTCCAGATGAACTGCATATGCAATGTGGTGCTCTCTGGTGTCTGCAAACATTTTATATTCCTACTAAGAGTCATTAGTTAAGTTGTGAATTGAAATGGTTAAATGAAGTCAGTGGAATCTCCGTGAAGGCAATAGTTTCTAAATATCAGCAGGGTTCTAAAGCATTTCTGCTAGCAGTCATTGAGTATGTTTCTGTATACGCTTTTCAGTGCTATGGTAGATTACCTTTTCTCCTTCTGTTGTTTCATCAGAGTGTACGGATTTTTGTGAAAATGCTAGGGATAGCTTTAGATTGGCTAGAAGTGCATTTTTTTAAATTTTTACTTATGGGAATCTAGATTAGGATTTTAATTGTAGTTTAAGTAGCCTGTGAAGCTATGTAGAATTCCAGAGAGTGTCTACGGTCTTCTGTCTATGACCATCTACCATCAAATAGTTTCTCAACAGAAATGAAGGAAGAGTCCAATATGTGTTATCTTTAATCAGGACCTTTAAAGATTTTCTTCTTATTTCATTTCTGAGCACAAGTCTAAGAACAAAAGAATGGCCATACTGAGTTCTTGTGTTACGTGAAGGGATAAATAATACTTCCTTATTCGCTTTTTCCACAACATTCATGACTTTATAGACTTCTGTTGTATCCCTCCTTAATAATCTGTTCTAGTCTTTTTAATCTCTCCTCATATGGAAGCTCTTCCATACCCCTAATCAGTTTTATTGCCCTTCTCTGTACTTTTTCCAATTCTAATACATCTGCACACCATATTCAAGGTGTGGGCATACCATGGATTTATTGAGAGGTAATATGATATTTTCCATCTTAGTATTTATCCCTTTCCTAATGATTCCCAACATTCTGTTAGCTTTTTTGACTGCCACTGCACATTGATTAGATGTGTCCAGAGAACTATCCACAACGACTCCAAGATCTCTTTCTTGGGTGGCAACAGCTAATTTAGAGCCCATCATTTTGTATGTGTAGTTAGGATTATATTTTCCAGTGTGCATTATTTTGCATTTATCAGCATTTCACTTGCCATTTCATCACCCAGTTTAGTGAGATCCCTTTGTAACTCTTCACAATCTGCTTTGGACTTAACTATCTTGAGTAATTTTGTATCATTTGAAAACTTTTCCACCTCACTTTTTACCCCCTTTTCCACCTCACTGTTTACTCCCTTTTCCAGATCAGTTATGAATATATTGAACACCAAAAGTCCCAGTACAGAACCTGGGAGACCCCACTATTTACCACTGTCTTCGTTGTGAAAATTGAGCATTTATGCTTATCTTTTAACCACTTTCTGATCCATGGGAGGATCTTTCCTCTTATCCCATGACTGCTTACTTTGATTAAGAGCCTTTGGTGTGGGACTTTGTCAAAGGCTTTCTGGAAGCCCAAGTATACAGTGTCAGCTGGATAACTCTTGTTCACATGCTTGTTGACACCCTCAAAGAATTTTCATAGATTGGTGAGGCATGGTTTCCCTTTACAAAAGACATACTGACTCTTCTTGAACATATTGTGTTCATCTATGTGTCTGAAACTCTAGTAAAGAACAGAATTATCAATCAATTTCTCTGGTACTGAAATTAGGCTTATGGGTCTGTAAGTGCCAGGATCACTTCTGAAGCCTTTTTTTTTAAAATGACATTACATTAGCTATCCTCTAGTCATCTGGTACAAAGGCTAATTTAAGCAGTGGGTTACATACCACAGTTAGTAGTTCTGCAAATTCCAAAACCACCTCTACTGACACTTTGATCTGTGACAGTTCCTCAGATTTGTCACCTAAAAAGAATGGCTCTGGTGTAGGAGTCTCCTTTACATCCTCTGCAGTGAAAACCAATGCAAATAATTCATTTAGCTTCTACACAACAGCCTTCTCTTCTCTGAGTGCTCTTTTTACATCTCGATCATCCTGTGGCCCCACTGGTTGTATGGCAGACTTCCTGATTCTAATGTACTTAAAAAAATGTTTGCTATTAAATTTGTGTCTTTTGCTAGTTGCTCTTCAAATTCTTTTTTGGCCTGCCTAAATATCCTTTTACACTTCACTTGCCAGAGTTTATGCTCCTTTCTACTTTCCTTAGTAGGATTTGACTTCCAATTTTTAAAGACGGTCTTTTTGCCTCTAACCACCTCTTTTACTCTGATATTTAGACATGGTGGCATTTTTTTATCCTCTTACTGTGTGGTGGGTTTTTTGTTTGTTTGTTTTTTTAATTTGGAGTTTACATTTAGTTTGAGCCTCTATTACGGTGTTTTTAAATAGTTTCCATGCAGATTGCAGGCATTTCACTCTCGTGACTGTTCCTTTTAATTTCCATTTAACTAGCTTCCTCATTTTTGTGCAGTTCCCCTGTTGGAAGTAAAATGCTACTGTGGTGGGTCTCTTTGGTATTTCCCCCCCACACACACACACACAATGATGTTAAATTTAATTACATTATGGTCACTCTTACCTAGTGGTTCATCTATATGCACCTCTTGACCCAGATTCTGTGCTCTACTTAGGACTAAATCAAGAATTGCCTCTTGCCTTGTGGGTTCCAGGACAAGCTGCTCCAAGAATCAGTCAAATGGTGTCTACAAATGTTATCTCTGCAACCTGCCTGAGGTGACATGTAGCCATTCAATCTGGGGATAGCTGAAATCCCCCATTATTACTGGAATTTTTGTTTTTGTAGTCTCTCTAATCTCCCTGAGAATATCAAAGGCACAGTCACCATCCTGGTAATGTGGTTGGTAGTTTATTCCTACTGTTGTACTCTTATTATTCAAGAATGGAATTTCCATCCATAGAGATTCTGTAGTACAGTGTGATTCATTTAAGATTTTTACAATATTTGACTCTCTGCTTTCTTTTCATAGAATCATAGAATATCAGGGTTGGAAGGGACCTCAGGAGGTCATCTAGTCCAACCCCCTATTCAAAGCAGGACCAATCCCCAATTAAATCATCCCAGCCAGGGCTTTGTCAAGCCTGATCTTAAAAACTTCTAAGGAAGGAGATTCTACCACCTCCCCAGGCAACGCATTCCAGTGTTTCACCACCCTCCTAGTGAAAGAGTTTTTCCTAATATCCAACCTAAACCTCCCCCACTGCAACTTGAGACCATTACTCCTTGTCCTGTCCTCTTCTACCACTGAGAATAGTCTAGAACCATCCTCTCTGGAACCACCTCTCAGGTAGTTGAAAGCAGCTATCAAATCCCCCCTCATTCTTCTCTTCTGCAGACTAAACAATCCCAATTCCCTCAGCCTCTCCTCATAAATCATGTGTTCCAGACCCCTAATCATTTTTGTTGCCCTTTGCTGGACTCTCTCCAATTTATCCACATCCTTCTTGTAGTGTGGGGCCCAAAACTGGACACAGTACTCCAGATGAGGCCTCACCAATGTCGAATAGAGGGGGACGATCACGTCCCTCGATCTGCTCGCTATGCCCCTACTTATACATCCCAAAATGCCATTGGCCTTCTTGGCAACAAGGGCACACTGCTGACTCATATCCAGCTTCTCGTCCACTGTCACCCCTAGGTCCTTTTCCGCAGAACTGCTGCCTAGCCATTCGGTCCCTAGTCTGTAGCTGTGCATTGGGTTCTTCCGTCCTAACTGCAGGACCCTGCACTTATCATGTAGAGAGCCACTGCCCCACCAGCATCTACTCTGTCATTCCTATATGTTTTGTAACCTGTTATTACTGTGTCCCATTGATTATCATCATTGCACCATCATCTCCTTTAGAAAGAAAGTAACACATATAAGAATATACACTAACTTCCATTTTTTTTACTACAAAAGTTATATGAACTTTTAATTTGCATTGTATACAGCAAATTTCCACAAAAATTGGCTCAGTATAGCCCTGTGATATATTATGATTAATATGTTAAACGCCAACCTTATATTCAAATTGTTGTAGACCATTGTCAGTAGCATACATATAATCCCATTGAATTTGGATGTACTTATCTTATTGGACTCTATTTATATCACTACTGTATCTAATCTGGTATTTCCAAGGTATTATCCTCTCATATTTAAGTACCTGCTAGTACTGGGAAAGGGTCACTGCACCTGAAGTCAGTAGTAGGCTCCAAGAAATTCAAAGTGGGAAGACAGAAGGGCACAATCTGTGGAGGGGTTGATGAGCATCACCATCTGGGGCTAAGACGATCCCCACCGATTAGCTGCGGAGCCACTCTGTACCCCTGTGCACTGGCCTGACCAATCCTGAGTGTCACTTTGTGTGACAGCAAGGGGCCTCTGTAGGTCAGAATTTGGCTCAGTGGCAATTTAGCCTAGTACTGGCTGAGTAAAAATGAAGGGCTGGATTCTGATACCCTTTCTCACATTGAACAGTGAAGTAAATTCTTTCCATAAGAAGAAAATTCATTGTTTCAAATGGGGCTTCTAGAAGAGTAAGATCCCCCACAACATGAGGAAAGGCATCAGAATATGGTCCTAAGTAAGAATTTCAGGATTTAGCTCAGTGTGCTGTATTAATTCCCACAGAGCCATAAGACCCTGTCAAGTGACCAGCTATTTATATATTCTTAAATACAAAAATTATTGCCACAGTATACTTTAACTGGAGAATTAAGATACATTGGACCAAAATCCATCAGTACAGCTTCGGTGCATACAATCTAGCCCCATGTGCTAACAAACCTTGTAAAATAAAATATTTATAACACATTTAATGAGAAGTAGTGACTCTTCTGCATTTTGAATGGAAGGAGCTTCTTTTCTAATGGAAAAGGTAATTTTTTTAAAAAAAAGACTAGTTGGATACAAAATTTCAATTAAACTGTTGGCTGATATTGAGTTATATCAGCAGAGATAATAATGCTGAAAACTACAAAACTCTTGGTTTTTAATTTGCACTCATATGACTTACAGGCTACCTAACAAAATAAAATTGTGAAAACACTGCCCCAAGGCATAGACCTTCAGCGCTAAGTTTCAGACTGTAGCAAGATTTTACAATGAGTTATATACCCCCTAGAAAAGAAGTGCTGATAAAGCTAACAAATTCATAATTATAGCAGTGGTTCTGAGGATAATAATAATAATTACTGATCATTTGTTTTGTGGCAGCACCCAAAGGCTCCAGGCAATGATCATAGCCAAATTGCCCTAGCCACTTTGTGCACACACACCAAAAAGACAGTCCCTTGCTCACAATAATAATCAAATAACACCCCATCAGTTTTTGCCATTCCCGGCAGCATTTCCTTTAAGCATCAGGGTAAAACCTCCATGGAAACTTGATTAACCAAAGTGATAGGACATGAACAGTCACCAACTTGGTGCTATATTATAACAACATTTTCATGTCAGCGAGACCGAAATGGCTTCTTTGGGGTTTGATTTGTTATTCTTGCTGATTGATATCTCCTTTTCATTTTTCTATACCTCTAGCAGTAGTAATATTAAATCAAAGAGGGATATTTTTATGATTATATTTTAAAGTGTTAGGCAACCATGTTAAAACCCTCAGTGGTGGGGGAATTATGGAGATATTGATTGTTAAAGCTCATGTTGCTATCTGTTCGGTGTCTGGTCAGCGTGTGGGTTTTAAACAACTTTCATTATTGATTATTTACAATGAGGTTTTTATAATAAACAAATGCATAGGACCAACAAAATAAATCTCTGGCTTTAGATTTAGTGAGAATGGAGAAGAAGGTTGATCAGAGGTGGGCAAACTTTTTGGGCCGAGGGCCACATCTGGGTGGGGAAATTGTATGTAGGGCCGGGACAGGGGGTTGGGATGTGGGAGGGGGTGTGGTGTGCAGGAACGGGCTCAGGGCAAAAGATTGGGGCAGAGGAGGGGTGTGGGGTGTATGAGAAGGCTCAGGGAAGGGGGTTAGGGTACAGAAAGGGTGCAGACTGCAGGAGGGAGCTCAGGGCAGGGGGTTGGAGTGCAGGAGGGGTGCGGGGTGTGACAGGGCTTAGGGCAGGGAGTTGGGTGCAGGAGAGGCGTGAGGTAAGGCAGCGGGCTCAGGGTAGGGGATTGGGGTGCACGGGGGTGCAGGGTGCAGCAGGCGGCTCAAGGCAGGGAGTTGGGGGTGCATGGAGGTTCAGGCAGGGGGCTTAGGGCAGGGAGTTGGGTGCAGGAGAGGTGTGGGGTATGGCAGCAGGCTCAGGGTAGGGGATTGGGGTGCACGGGGGTGCAGCAGGCGGCTCAAGGAAGGGAGTTGGGGTGCATGGAGGTTCAGGCAGGGGGCTTAGGGCAGGGAGTTGGGGGGCAGTATGCAGGAGGGGTTCGGGCTCCAGCCCAGCACCACAGAGACTTGGTGCCAGCTGCTTCTGAGAGCGGCATGGGGCCTGCAGCATCACAGGGGGCAATCCCGCGGACTGGATCCAAAGCCCTGATGGACGGATGCGGCCCATAGTTTGCCCACCCCTGAGGTAGATGCTAGCATGGCCCTATTGCTGTAAAAGGGACTTGCACAGATGGCCAAGCAGCCCACATGGTGTCCTATTGGTTTATGAGACTGTGCATGGGCATACATGGGATCCATCTGCAGGATTACAGCCTCTGTTAACATCAGGATCCGGATTGGGAGGAAAGGAGCAGGGGCTGCAAATGACCACTTCAGTGTAATAGGAAACACATCAGTTAGTACCAGTACAGAATCAGTATCATAAACTGATCTGAGAGAATGAATATCTCAATGCCAAAATGTCAAAATTAGAAAAGTATCATAAATATTCTAAACTTTAAATTTGTATGTTTCTTATTAATTGCATCTGATGGAGATAATATGCCAGTGCTGGATTTATTTACGTGATATTTGATTTTCTAGTCCGTGACAAAGACTCTCTTCCTCATGCCATTCAGACTTTTTGCATTACTCCCAGGAAAATTAGTTTGGCTCCTCAGCCTGCTCCAGTATCTCCTTTAGAGACTATTGGTACCTTAGCCTCTGACTCTGTAAACTGCTGCACTCTGCTGCACCTCTGTGCTTGCACTGAGCCCACTGGCTCTGATATTCATGTATTTTCTGAGCAATTTGTGAGATTGCACCTTCCGAGACTGTGAGTTTTGAGCAGGTGCAAGAGTCTGGAAATGGGTTTGGAGAGCAGAATTTGGCCTTGGTAAGCTGCTTAAAACCCATTCCCATTCCTGATCTCCTCTGACTCTATGCTCCCACTCATATGCATAACCCTAAAATTGTTCCTCTTGTTTCTATCCAAATGGAATGTAAGCACCTTGAAGGCAGAGAACTTTTCTATTTCTGTTTCCATAAAACTCTGTAAGTCATCCTATAATAATCTATAACTGAGACATAAAAATATCAATTTATATTTACCAAATTATTTAGTTCACGTGTTCACTGCAGGGACAATATTATTTAACAGCTTTCTCTTATAAATAGTGGCTAATTGATCTACTGTACAAAAAAGTATATTTGTATCCCAATATTTTTTCCTGTTTTCAGGTCAGATTTCAAGAGGAAAGACAGGCCTTCAGCTGATACATACTGATATGCCAGGAGAAAAACTTCCCATAACAAGGTTCCGTTCTCTATTTAATGGTGAGTTTGGGAAATAACTTCATGATTTTCACAGAAATAGTCTTTGAAATTTCGTTCATGAAACACCGTGCAGTATGGCCCAATGGATGGTGCCCTGGAATGGTATCAGGACACCTGAGCTTTATTTCTGGTTCTGGTACTGGCCTGCTGAGTATCCTTGGTTGAGTCACTACACCTTTCTATGCCTCAGTTTGCCCCTCTATAAAACGGACCTCGGGGCTTGTCTTCACTACTGGGGAGATCAATGCTGCTGCAATTGATGCAGTGGGTGTCGATTTACAGGGTCTAGTGAAGACCCGCTAAATTGATGGCAAGCGCTCTCAAGTCGACTCCAGTATTCCAGGTCCTCGAGAGGAGTAAGGTAAGTTGACCGGAGAGCATCTCCCATTGATGCAGCCCAGTGAAGACACTGGGGGAAAGTTGACCTAAGCTATGTCGACTCTGGCTACATTATTCATGTAGCTGGAGTAACATAATTTAGGTAAACTTACCGCAATAGTGGAGAGAACTAGTACTCAACTACTTTGTTAAGTCTTTAAAGATTCATGGATGAAAAGTATCAGAGGGGTAGCCGTGTTAGTCTGGATCTGTATAAGGTGCCACAGGACTCTTTGCCACTTTTAGACTAACAGACATAATGGAGCATAAGCTTTCGTGGGTGAATACCCACTGCATGCATCCGATGAAGTGGGTATTCACCCACGAAAGCTTATGTTCCAATACGTCTGTTAGTCGATAAGGTGCCACAGGGGGCTGGAGGGGATATATCCACCCTCTTCCCCAAGCTCTCTGGAGCAGAGAGCATGCAATCAGTAACCAACCAAAGGCCTGATTAAAAGTCTACTGAAGTCAATGGAAGTCTTGCAATTGACTTCAAGGGGCTTTGTAGGAGGCCCTGAATAGTAACACTTAGCTCATTCATCTCTGTTTCACGACAAACTGTAATATGGAAAGGTGATTCAGTCTAAAGAGAGGGAATCAGTGAATGTTTTCCCTATAAAGGAAGAGATGGACTTTAAAATCACAGGGTGCTTTTTGAAACTTTTGTTAAAATACTTCCATATTGCCAGGATTTATCCTGTTTAATTCAAGGAACACTTTTCTTTTAACCTAATCCCCATAAGTAAGTGAGAAATTAAGTGAGAACATACCTCTGCTGCTTCCCAATAACCTATCTAGTCAATAAATCTGGTGGCAATCAGATAAACAGCTTTGTTATAGGACTTTATAAATAAGGCTGGGACCACACCTGCCCATAGAATCCCACAGTTTGGTAGCTTTTGCCTTTCCCCATCCATCCACTGGGATGACTGGAACTCCTGCAGACTGCTTGACACTGCTTCAGTTTTCACCCTCCAGCAAAGATGTTGGTTCTAATGCTAACTGAGCAGCAAATACCCTATGTACAAAGAAAAGAAAAGGAGGACTTGTAGCACCTTAGAGACTAACAAATTTATTAGAGCATAAGCTTTCATGAGCTACAGCTCACTTCATTGGATACATACAGTGGAAAATATAGTGGGGAGATTTTATATACACAGAGAACATGAAACAATGGGTGTTACCATACAGACTGTAACAAGCATGATCAGGAAAGGCGAGCTATTACCAGCAGGAGAGCGGGGGTGGGGGGACACCTTTTGTAGTGATAATCAAGGCGGCCCATTTCCAGCAGTTGACAACAACAGTAGGAGGGGAAATAAACAAGGGGAAATAGTTTTACTTTGTGTAATGACGCATCCACTTCCAGTCTTTATTCAAGCCTAAGTTAATTGTATCCAGTTTGCAAATTAATTCCAATTCAGCAGTCTCTCATTGGAGTCTGTTTTTTTAAGTTTTTTTGTTGAAGAATTGCCACTTATAGGTCTGTAATCGAGTGACCAAAGAGAGAGAAGTGTTCTCCGACTGGTTTTGGAATGTTATAATTCTTGACATCTGATTTGTGTCCATTTATTCTTTTACGCAGAGACTGTCCAATTTGGCCAATGTACATGGCAGAGGGGCATTGCTGGCACATGATGGCATATATCACATTGGTAGATGCGCAGGTGAACGAGCCTTTGATAGTGTGGCTGATGTGATTAGGCCCTATGATGGTGTCTCCTGAATAGATATGTGGATACAGTTGGCAAAGGGTTTTGTTGCAAGGATAGGTTCCTGGGTTAGTGGTTTTGTTGTGTGGTGTGTGGTTGCTGGTGAATATTTGCTTCAGGTTGGGGGGCTGTCTGTAAGTAAGGACTGGCCTATCTCCCAAGATCTGTGAGAGTGATGGGTCATCCTTCAGGATAGGTTGTAGATCCTTGATGATGCATTGGAGAGGTTTTAGTTGGGGGCTGAAGGTGATGGCTAGTGGCGTTCTGTTATTTTCCTTGTTGGGCCTGTCCTGTAGTAGGTAACTTCTGGGTATTCTTCTGGCTCGTCAATCTGTTTCTTCACTTCAGCAGGTGGGTATTGTAGTTGTAAGAACGCTTGATAGAGATCTTGTAGGTGTTTGTCTCTGTCTGAGGGGTTAGAGCAAATGCGGTTGTATCGTAGAGCTTGGCTGTAGACAATAGATCATGTGGTATGGTCTGGATGAAAGCTGGAGGCATGTAGGTAGGCATAGCGGTCAGTAGGTTTCCGGTATAGGGTGGTGTTTATGTGACCATCGCTTATTAGCACCGTAGTGTCCAGGAAGTGGATCTCTTGTGTGGACTGGTCCAGGCTGAGGTTGATGGTGGGATGGGAATTGTTGAAATCATGGTGGAATTCCTCAAGGGCTTCTTTTCCAGGGGTCCAGATGATGAAGATGTCATCAATGTAGCGCAAGTAGAGTAGGGGCATTAGGGGACGAGAGCTGAGGAAGCGTTGTTCTAAGTCAGCCATAAAAATGTTGGCATACTGTGGGGCCATGTGGGTACCCATAGCAGTGCCGCTGATTTAAAGGTATGCATTGTCCCCAAATGTGCAATAGTTATGGGTGAGGAGAAAGTCACAAAGTTCAGCCACTAGGTTAGCCGTGACATTATCGGGGATAGTGTTCTTGACGGCTTGTAGTCCATCTTTGTGTGGAATGTTGGCGTAGAGGGCTCCTACATCCATAGTGGCCAGGATGTTTTCAAGAAGATCACCGATGGATTGTAGTTTCCTCAGGAAGTCAGTGGTGTCTCGAAGACAGCTGGAAGTGCTGGTAGCGTAGGGCCTGAGGAGGGAGTCTACATAGCCAGACAATCCTGCTGTCAGGGTGCCAATGCCTGAGATGATGGGATGTCCAGGATTTCCAGGTTTATGGATCTTGGGTAGCAGATAGAATACCCCTGGTCGGGGTTCTAGGGGTGTGTCTGTGCGGATTTGTTCTTGTGCTTTTTCAGGGAGTTTCTTGAGCAGATGGTGTAGTTTCTTTTGGTAACCCTCAGTGGGATCAGAGGGTAATGGCTTGTAGAAAGTGGTGTTGGAGAGCTGCCTAACAGCCTCTTGTTCATATTCCGACCTATTCATGATGACAGCACCTCCTTTGTCAACCTTTTTGATTATGATGTCAGAGTTGTTTCTGATGCTGTGGATGGCATTGTGTTCTCCATGGCTGAGATTATGGGGCAAGTGATGTTGCTTTTCCACAATTTCAGCCCATGCACATCGGCGGAAGCACTCTATGTAGAAGTCCAGTCTGTTGTTTCGACCTTCAGGAGGAGTCCACCCAGAATCCTTCTTTTTGTAGTCTTGGTAGGAAGGTCTCTGTGAGTTAGTATGTTGTTCAGAGGTGTGTTGGAACTATTCCTTGAGTCAGAGACATCGAAAATAGGATTCTAGGTCACCACAGAACTGTATCATGTTTGTGGGGGTGGAAGGGCAGAAGGAGAGGCCCCAAGATAGGACAGATTCTTCTGCTGGGCTAAGAGTATAGTTGGATAGATTAACAATATTGCTGGGTGGGTTAAGGGAACCACTGTTGAGGCCCCTTGTGGCATGTAGTAGTTTAGATAGTCTAGTGTCCTTTTTCTTTTGAAGAGAAGCAAAGTGTGTGTTGTAAATGGCTTGTCTAGTTTCTGAGAGGGAGATCAGGAAAGGACCCAGGAAGAGGAAGAATCTCATCTGAGGCCATCTACTCTGCCCTTTCATTGGTAAAACCCTCATTGGGGGTGGTTTTATTTTGGCGGTGGGAGAGCTCTCTTCCACCAACAAAGAGCGCCTACGCTGCTTACCTTATGGCACAGCTGTGCTGCTGTAAGGTGCGCAGTGTAGACACAGCATGAGTTAGGTTGAATAAAGTTGAAAGCTACTCTCCAGATTGTCTGTGCACAGTTACCAATGGTTCTGGTTATGTTGGGACTGCCCTGGGATTTTAACTACTGACCTAGCGTCTACAGTCCCGACAGACTACACTTTAAAATTAATACATTCTGGCTTCCTTCGAACCAGAATAGGAAAGAGTCGGGTGGCCCGAGTTGCTCTCACCCGCCACCTGCCTGAGCAACTCTGCTAAGATTTCTGAAAAATAAATAAGAATAGCAGAAGATGCAGTGGGAGTGCCTCGTCAGGCAATAGTCAAGTGCCCAAATCCTTATTATTGACCAAAGGTACATCTACACTGCAAAAAAAAAAAAACCAACCAAAACCCACCATGGCAGCGAGTCTCAGGGTACATCTACACTGCAGCAGAAGTCTCAGAGCCCAGGTCAATTGGCTTGGGCTCACAGGGCTGAGGCTGAGGGGCTAAAAATTGCAGTGTAGATACTCAAGCTTGGACTGGAACTTGGGCTCTGAGACCCATCCCCTCACTAGATTCCAGAGCCCTGCCCGAGCCTGAATGTCTATGTAACCCACACGCCTGAGTGTGGTGTTCTGTCCCATCAAGTGGCACGGAGACCACTTAGAGAGAGATTAATGAGTCTGCTCTATGGCCTTAGCTAACAGCCATATGGCTTTTAGCTCATGCAGTGGAGGCTCATGCGCTAAGCTCCAAAAGTCCCAGGTTCAGTTCAGCCCACCACAGACCGGGGTCTGCCAGCATTACATCTACG